TGGTTGGGCGTATTTTCCTTCTGCATTGGGAATGAGGTTTTTTGGCGATGACGCTTTTATCGTTGGTTGCGAGTGCCTGTATTGTTATTACTGATCAATAAACTGGTAAACATAACCATAATGTCACAATACGGTGAAATGTCAGACTACTAATAAAAGAAAATTATACGCGAGGTGTGGCGTTAAGCTCGAAGTGGGTCAAAGAAACTTCATCATTTGTTAACGAAAACAACACTTATCTTTGACATAAGGGGGCGAAATATACGATTTTGTTTCTTTTTTCATGTCAACTTACAAACTTGGTAGGTACTTATTGTAACAGTAGTATATAAAGCTTTTTGACTAGCTAGTTTTCCATTTTTGTGGAAGAACAAACGATAACGTATAATTTATAGTGTGATTTCTTCAAATGGTCAACATGTTATAGATCCAAGGTTAAACGTTTTTTGCAAAACTCTGCCAGGGCACTAAACAAATTATTTTGACAGACAGCTCAACTCAATTTGACAATAAGTTGATAAAGCACAACATATGAAAGTCTGTTTTTCACTTCTGTTGAGATGTTAATCATCTCGTTATCACTGAGGTGACTATTATCGTGCAGTTCATGTATTTTCATTTCATTTTTTTTTTCAAGTTTTAATGCAATGTGGATTATTTAATGCTGTTATATTTGATGTCTTTTTGGTTTGATATCTATTGCATTCACATATGCTTCACTAATTTGGCCTTTTATTATATGAGCATAAGTTTCTTTCAAGTTTTTAACTATTTGTCCTCATTGCTAATCGTTTATGGTATTTATATGCATAACTAACATATTCGCCTACTGTTTTTTATATACTTTAATGATGTTTATCCGCTAGACGAACATTTCCTGTATAAGTATATATTTTCACCGCTACTGATTGAACACTTTTAGATTATTGCGCTGTATCTACTCGTATATGTGCCTTAACTCGTCTAAATGTTTTATACTTTTCTGTAATTGCTTATGTCCTTTTTATTCTACTCGTATATTTATACGCATTTTTTGTGCATATTTGCTCAAACGAATATATGACTTTTAGTTTCAGTTTGATAAGTCTTATATCATGTAACTTGATCTAAAAACACAATAAATTATGTATAGTCTAATCATATACGAAACCAGGGGGGTTTGCGAATTAATTGTAAATTCTGGTTTTATTGCTGCAAGTTGTTCAACGGGGTATTCAAAACATGGACGCATAAAATGGGTACAAAAATTTTTGTGGGAAAACTTTTTATTCGACAGCAAAGAATGAGAAAACGTGTTTTTTGAGATTCAATCGAAAGTGTTTTCAGGAACGGAAAAAATCTTCATATGCGATTTTTAGCTATTTATGAGACCTACAAAATGATACCATACATAAAAAGATCCGACTAATAGCAAAAAAGTTATGGGCGAAAACCTTGGCAACCTTCAGGTTTCGTACTTCTAAATAACCACAACAAAACTGGCGTAGATTGGTCAAGTAGTTTCTGAGAATGTCTAATTGTTGATCCCAAAACACCTGTTTTCCTGCCATCACTACTAGTTTATTGAGTAATATACAGGGTTAGTTCAAAGGGCATTTTATAGCAAAATAGACTAGTTTACCTTGCCGATATGAATCGCAAACCATTCCGCAAAAGGATGGGTTACGTTTTTTCTTCTAAACAAATTCCAAATAATTCGTATTTGTGAGAAATTTGACACAAAATTTGATAGACACATCCGCTTTGTTTTAAAATGTGTATAGTAATGTATGTGTTTCGAATATCGTAGCGCATTTGTTCAATTACTCACAAATACGAAATGTTTGAATTTGTTTAGAGGAAAAAAACGTAACCTTTTATTCGCACAAAAATAACATTTGTCTTTCGGATGGTTTGTGATTCATATCGGCAAGGTAAACACGTGTATTTTGCTATTAAATGCTTTTTGAACGATCCCTGTATATTGCTCAATAAACTAGTAGTGATGGCCGGAAAACAGGTGTTTTGGAATAAACAATTAGGAATTCTCTACTTGACCAATATAATCCAATTTTGTTATTGTTATTTAGAAGTATGAAACTTACGGATTTGAAGAATTTCAAGTAGTTGCGTGAAATTATCGACGAATTACCAACAAGTGCCAAAACCTGCATTTTGCCTCCTTTTCCGCTATAATATTTTTGCTATTAGTCAGATCCTTTTACGTGTGGTCTCATTTTGTTGGTCTCATAAATATCTAAAAATCTTATAGGAAAAGGTTTTCCGTACCTGTCAACACTTTCGATTGAATCCCAAAAACTCGTTTTCTTATTCTTTGTTGTCAAATAAAAAGTTTTCCCACAAAAATTGGTGGACCCATATTTTGAATACCCCCTTGAACAACTTGCACCAATAAAACCGTACTTTGCTAATATGATCTATCAAAACGTAAGTGATACTCTACTTGTTTTTGTTTGATTGTTGGCCTCACCAGAACCACTAAAAGAATTCTATTCACTTAAAGTTGCTTGATCTGTTCTGATTTTGGGTGCTATACGTGTACATTTGTGGAAAATAAATCACCAAATGTCGCCAGAAAATACGCGTTTGTTTATTCTGATTGAAAAAGTCATGTAGTTAAAAGCACCAGAATTTTATTTGTGAAGACCTGAATCGATGAACCTGGAAATACTTCAAAGCAAACAAAAAGCAATAAGGTGCAAGTGGTGTTTCTTACCTTACGCCCCTGTACGCAGTTGTTTGCATTGAAAATGTAATAAAACTGTGTTAAATCACGAGAAAACGGTGATCTTTAGAACATCAATAAAGCAACAGGCTAGGTGTAATGCATTTTGAAACGCTTGTGACGGGAGGAAATAAAATAAAAAGCAAACCGTGGGGCTGCAAGCAATTTTGGAAAGCAAAGGAAAGAGTTGATCCTAGATAAGTGTAACATTTGGGGATCTTTTCACGCCATTCAGACAGAGAATAATAATAGCGTAGATATTCTACGTTTGTTTTTACGTTTTCAAAAAAGCGTTGCGTGATAAAACGTGACAATAAAATTTTAATATACAGGGTGCACCATGTTTTATGTCGGTATGTAAATATGAAATAACTTTGAAAACGAAAAACTGATTTCTATATTTCGGGCATTTTTATTAAATATGGTCCTTTACAATTTATTGGGACTAGTTTTTGAACCCAAATCTATCAAGTGGCTACCTTTATTGGCCAAAGCAAAATGTGCCCGTTTTGCTGCGTTTTCCGTTACTTTTTCTAGCATCTCTGCTGGTATAACGGCGATTGCGGTACGAATGTTTGCATTGAATTCATCAGTGATCTGGGGCTTGCTGGCGTACACTTGATTTTTCAAATAACCCCACAAGACGAAGTCCGATGGGATCAAATCTGAAGACCTGGGTGGCCAGTCAATATCACCTCTTTTTGACATCGGACGTACAAGGAATTTTCGTTGCAGAAACTTTATTGTTTCATTTGCAGTGTGGCCTGGCGCAACGTCTTGTTGGACCCAGTAACCATCAAGATCTTTTTCATGCATTTTTGGGCAGACATAATGAGCCAACATCCACCGATATCGATTACCATCGACTGTTTCGTTTTCGTTAAAGAAAAATGGCCCAATGATGGTTTTGGCGCAAACGCCGGCCCAAACAGTCACTTTCCGGTCATGCAACGGCATTTCGTGGATCTCATGTGGATTTTCCGTCCTACAAATGCGGCAGTTTTGCTTATTAATGCCGCCAGAAAGCGTGAAATGGGCCTCGTTGGTCATCACAATTTGCTTCCAAAAACCAGGTTCAACATCATCCATGCGAGCGACTGTTTGGGCGTATTCCAAGCGACGTGGACGGTCAGTTGGCCATATTTTTTGTGTTAACTGCACCTTATAATCAAACAAATGCAAATCATCCTTCAAAGTGCGCCGCAACGTGGTTCCACTAATGCCAAAATGCTGAGCGCGGTGACGATACGACACTGTTGGGTTCTGACCGCTTCAACCAGTTCATTGGAACGTCTTGGTCGTTGGTGAACGGTATGTTGACGATCTCCCACTATCCCGTACTCAAGAAAATTCGAAACCAAACGACGGATAGTGTTGTCAGACGGTGCCTGTTTGCCCCAATATTTTCGACAATATGCACGTTGCGTTAACACAACTGAACGACGATTTTCAATGTACATTGTGACTATTTCGGCGCGCTGTTTGTGTAAAGCGATTCTTGACTAAAATGATAGTAAATTGATGTTTCAGAAACACGTATAACCAAATCACTCGGTTGGTAAATATAAAAGTCAGTCGATGTTTCAATACCGACATAAAAGATGGCGCACCCGGTACATCGAGTCTCATATCGCTCGAATTCACAGGAACACCGATCCATTACTTATTAGTGTTCGACCAGGCGGTAAAGTCCAACTTTACAACTAACGGGTTTGTTTATACCTCTTTAACGCGCACAATCTTTAAATTGACCTACGCCTACTGACCACATGAACTGTTTGTATGTTTTTTGTTCACCACACGGTAGTATTGGTGTATCCAATTCATTTGTTTTTATATCCACTTAGAAGAAAAGACTATCAATTACTTACCCTTTATCAGGTCGTATAAAAAATGTTGTGTCTGGACGAAACGAGTGTTTATGTCCCTAGGCCTGTCGGAGCCCGCAGACTTGACACCTTGGGCTCTAACTTCATGCCACGGGCTATAAACGCTCACTTAACGTCCTACACACACAATTAACTACAATTGCAATCTATCAGAAACGTTATGTATGGTCTCCTCAGCATTCATATGAATACGAATGATTCACACAAACTCAAACGGTCAGGAATAGGCTCAATGACAGCAGGTGTGAATATCTGCAATACTAACACAAAGTCGAACCTAAGCTATCCAATTTTATTATGAAGTTTAGGCTTGAAGCTATAATTTGCTTCAATTCTCTGACGTGAAAAGACACCAAATAAGAGCAGCAACAAAAAAATCGAAAGCGCTGTGCCACTGACCTGGAAGTGTAGGATGATGGTCCAGATGAGCCCGAGTGTGAGTTTAGGGTTGCCATCTACGATGTCTTCGGACCGGATGTTGACTAATTTAACGTTCTTGCAACGGAGGAAGTGCAATGCGGTGTCGATGTTGTGCAGCATGTGGAAGCGCATCTGACCTCTCTCCCTTGGCTGGAAAGAAGAAATGGATCAAGTAGGTCAACTCAGCAAGCTTCGCGAATCGATATACAAGCTTTATCTATTAATGTTGTTCGCTAATTGATGTTTTTGGTCCGTTTTTTGTTTTTGGTTGCATGTTTAGAAAGGGAATTATAGCGTTGTATTTTTTTCATTGATACTGTAATGGATTAACAGTAGTGGACAAAAGTTTGGAAACATTCTTAGTAATTTTTAAAAAGTGCACTAATTTTTTATATTATTCTCATATACTTTACTTACAGTCTTGAAGATACAAATGTGTTTGCTGTGGTTCTACAGACTAGAATTAAAATACCTTCATATTATATGACCAAAAATGAGACGATGAAAGTATGGAAGCATATTTTTATTACAAAATTGAATACTATACAAAAAGATTTGAAAAATACTGTTTAGCTAATATTTGGTAGCATAGCCTGATATCTGCTGCTCAGACACCAATTTTTTACAGACGTCTGGTGGGATATTTGACAAATATTTTTTACATAATCAAATAAATCGTTCCTATTTTTAAAAGTTTTTCTTGTCAGTTGTCTTTTAACATGCTCCCAGAGATGTTCTATAGGGTTTAGGTACGGAGATTGTGAAGGCCATGTAAGAACATTAACATTTTTTAGTCTTAAGGAGTCCTTTAAGAATTTTGAGGTATGCTTGTTGTCACTATCTTGCTGGAATCTCCATCGCAAAGGCATTTCTTCTTCAGCAAAAGAGGGCATGTATTCACTAATAATATTTCTGTAAAGTTTGTGATCCATTTCCCCAACAATTTTAACAATTGGACCCGTTCCAGAACTATAAAAATAGCCCCAAACCATGATGTTGCCTCCACCGTGCTTAACTGTTGGCAACTGATGCTTTTTGTCGAATCTTTTTCGTATTGGACGTCTCACATATATGCCGTAAAGTCAGATCCAAACCAGTTAAATTTGCTTTCATCGCTCCATAAAACTGTATTCCATTGTTGTTCTGTCCAAGTTAGATGAATTTTAGCAATTTCAAGCCAAGCAATACGATTTCATTTTGAAATGAGAGACTTTTGCCCTGGACGCCTACCGAACAGTCCAAAATCCACCAAGCGTCTCTGTACTGTTCTGACAGAAAGATTCTCGGCACCCTCTTCTACGATTCTTTTGAAAATCTCTGTAGCTGGCATTGGAGGATCTTCATGGGACAAACGTTTAATGTAGCGATCCAAAACAATCGGTTTTGTTCATTTTTAATCTTTGAGAAATGTCAACATTTTTGACACCACTTCCTAAATAATTCAATCACTTTGTCACTTAAATCCTTTTACTTTTGCCACTCTCACTGATGTTAATATTTACCGCACGCAATATCAGAGTATCGCAGGGCGAATAGATACGGCAAAACTGAAATGCTTGTCGTTACAAAAACGGTGGTATTCAAAAAAACGCGTGTTTTTATTTTTAGAGAATTTAAATATTGAGAAGATAAACTTTGTATCAGTACGAGAGTCAAAGGTAGACTTTAATGTTTATATTATTAGTTCCTACACAATTTTAATTTACGTATATGAAATATTTCATAATAATATTAATATTTGTTTCTAAACTTTTGTCCGCTACAACAAAACTGTCATCCAATGTTCTTTGTAGTACGTTCTAACAAAAAAAAAACATTTTTGAAAGCTCAAAGTGAACAAAGAACTGGCTTTCTTTCTGGTCTGAACTTCTATTGCGTTGAGGCTGCACCCTCTTTAACTTGTATTTTGTATTTCAACCTTTTGAAATAAAACATAACATAAAATTTGGTCAAACTGAATTTGTTTGTCTTTGTGTAGAACTTTCATTACGGAGAATCTAAAGAAATTCACTTTTTTTCGTGATTACAATAATTCCTCGCCACTTGGCTGGGAAGTAAAAATGGGATCAAAAAGCTTGAGTCGGTAGAAAGGACTATCTCGTGACCGTTTAGATGACGTGCTCAAGGAGGATGTATCTAGAGTTGGAATACATAAGACACAAGATTACAGATCAGTGAAATGAAATCGTTGTTTTTTCCCTGTAGTATGAAGTTTTATTTTCTAAAAGGGTATTTCGGAATTCCATTGTCTATACAATTTCATGACGTTTCGATTGATGCGGTAACTTCAGTACACCTGAAGACAAATAAAACTTCCGAAACATCCACATTTTCAGCAAGTCTCAAAAAAAAGTTTTATTCAATAAGTTAAGAGATAAAGACCTATACCTCTCACGCCCTATCCTAAGTCCATTGTCAAACATTCTAATCCAGAAATTCTATACAATTTTTGGTCTACTACTATACCTACTACACATACGAGTACAATCTTAGATATTTTCCCCCATCTAAAAAGCTGGTATAACCCAAGATGCCAAGAAAACTGCCCATAGAAGTATTACAAACAAACATATTTGAGAGGATATCACGTGATGGAGTAGCGAAATACTTCTTGTCTCGTTTCAGGCAACAGCTTTGGTTAGCCACTGCTATTCCAGATGGACAATGTCATAAGCTTTATACTCGATCACCTGGCAACGGTGCTGAACCATATAAGTCAATCATGCCATAAACGCCAGCCACGATACTATAACTCGAGAAAAAATTAAGGGAGCAAGAAAAAATCCAAATTTTTCAGTGATTTTTGACAGGCTGTATTTCGGTGAAAACTGGTCGTATCTAAACTCTGAATAATGCATTTCGAAGGTTTAGGACTCTGGTTTTCAGGTATTTTAGCTGAAAAATTTTAGGAGTAACTGTTTTGATGGAATTTGAACAGATAGCGCAAGGAATAGTTTTGCAAAATGTATGCCTTCCCCTTTTCAGTCTACGGGCTTGAAATTTCTATTCTGTCAGGCCATATGGATCAAATAGCCCGTTTATTCACAGTCAATATCCTGTCTTTAAGATCCCGGTACGATAATTTGCCGCGGAGATATCTGACCTGTTTGTCATCTCCGTAACAAGTGATCGCACAGATAAATGATATTTCTGAAAACCGAAATAAATAATCTCCTCTTTGAGGAAATTTCTGTTTTGTTTGTTTCGTTAGTATTGATTTTGAAAGAGTAAAAAAAGTTACTTTTTGCTTCATTCTGGAAAATCGACGGCATTTTTGGCACTGCTTGTGAGAAGCTTAACGTTTTTACGTTTTTTTATACCTAAATGTTACTAATAACCCTATGCGATGGCAGAGTGATCCATTGTACGGTTTCTCCGGTTCGATAGGTCAAAGTTTGAGAATGATGCAAATTCAGCGAAAAATGATTTTTTTATTTTCAACCAGTTCACAGGATATTTTGATACAAAAATGCTGCTCCTTTGATTTATTTCAAACTTGGACTAATCAGTCTGGAGAAACCATGAAATGGTTCGATATGCCGTCGTGTAGGGTTATTACCTAAAAACATTATCCGTCTGATTAGAAGTTCCAAAAATGCGGTCGCTTTTCGAAAACAAGGAATAAAGTAACTGCTGACTTGTAAAGTCAATACCAAAGAATCAAGAATTGCAATCAAATCTTATAGGAGGTTCATTCCAGTTTTCGGAAATTCAGTACATTCTCTGCGATCACTGGTTACCAAGATATCGGTGGTCTATGAGAAACGGACCCATTTGTATTTGAAGTCAGATATGTCCGCGCCAAATCATCGCATCGAGATTTTAAAAACAGGATATTGAAGCTTGTTAAACGGGTTATCTGATTCATATAACGGTCTAACAGGAGTTATTTTGTTTGAAGCCTGTGGACTAAAAAGAAAAAAGCAAAAATTTTGCAAGAAATTTTCGTTGCTCGTTTCTGTTATAATTGTATAAGAACCGTTGCTCCTAAAATGTTTCGGTTAAAAAACCTAAAAGCTAGAATCTTAAAATTTCAAAATACTTTTTTAGGGTCTAGATATGACCATGTCAAAAATTACTTACTTATTTCTTGTTCCCTTATTTTTTGAGTAGTGTCCATCCTGATGTAATACATGTGAACAAGAAGATGATGTAGTTGAGCATTTGCAAATCATTCTGGGAAAAATTTGGCCTTCAATGACTAAGGCAGGGAAACATGGGACGTATCGCCTTCTTCAATAGATCTTGGCTGATAAGCCTTTCTTCAATACTTGATACAGAACCCCCCTGGAATTTTGTTGACTATGTCCAACAATTATGATTAAGAATTCAAAAAATCTACATATTAACGAAATTTCTAGACTGATAACGATCGCATGAAAGATATAACGTTGAGTTGATTTCCGATTTGCGATTACATTCACCATATCTAAACAATAGAAGGGATTATCAAAAATCGTACTTACAAGTTGTTCGCCAGATAAAACTTCCAAAAGAGAGATCAAGTTGTGTCCATCCCGTAGATCCTCGAAAAGATCCCGAATGTGCTTTCCAGCCTGGAATAAAAAGAAAAACAAAGCTATTAATCAATATTAACGATCATTATCAGCAGATGACCGATGCAATTGACATCTATTACATACAATTATTATCATGTAATTACTGATATACATCAATACTAACGTAGCAGCATACAAAGCGGGTTGTAGAAATTAAAAGAGAGGAAAAATGTGAGCATTTACAAGCTATGTTCCATTACAAATCGACAGACACATTCACCAAAGTTATAACAGCACTTTCACCGTTATTTTAAGGTTTCTAGATTGTGGTGAATGTTTACTGACAGGAAGTCTAAAATAATTGTACCGTCCAGTTCCAAATTTATGTATTATCGATGGATAAACAAATATCAAAGCGATTTATTACAACCACAAATTGTCATGTCCATCCAGGAATTAGATTTAAATCGGTTGAATGTTTCCTTTTTGAGCATTTGTGTTATATATAGTGAGCGTCTTTCATTGATTTAATCGAGACATTCAGCGATACATCTGTACGTTCTAAATTTCAACAAATCCTAATAGAAAATTATTACGGAAAAAGTGTTCTCAAAACAGTAGGACATTCTTCAGAACGAAATATTACGGAACTTGAGCCTAAGGAGCCCCTAAACTATAGCCAGGTGTTGAGACAAGGTCACTTTTTGTGACGTGCAATTGTCTGAACACTGTTGCACTTTAGACAACTATAGATAAAACTACAGACACAATATTTCAGTGTTATGACAGTTTTCCACCTTACATTCAATGTTCCCGCCAAATCGTATGCGATTAAAATACTTGGGATTACTGCCAACAATTTCGCGTTTTATTATTTCGTTTTAGTACGCGACCATATCGTCGCAGATTTCGGCAGACGTATACATTACTCACTTCCGGACATCACTGGGATGGGTTTTCTTTTTTGATTCATTACGGGATTTCAGATAGCAAATAACACACATGGTTAACAAAGCATTATCTTTGGACTAGTGAGATATTACTTTATTTATCACTGCTAGTGTTAGGACTCGTACCAAAGTCAGGGAGCAAGAAAGGAAGGGGGAAGAGCAAATAGTAAAGATTGCGTCTGGTGGAGTGTAGGGTGCCTTGACATTGTTAACTAGTACTCAGTAGTTTTAAATTGATTTAGGAATTTGTATGTGTGGAAAAAATGTAATTTTCGGCATAGAATTGGACGATTTAAGTTTGTTCACACGGCGAGCCGCGGTCTTCTGTGCTTGCGAACTTGCTCGACTGTGTAGTCTTCTGACTCACGCAACAGAGGGTTGCTGTCATTCCGCTTGACGTAACTGCGTCTGTTGTTAGATGTAGTTCTTAGGTAAGGAACGTCGAGGTCTCTTTGAAGGGTCTCGTTGGAGACATACCATGGACAGTTCTGTTCTGCATCACCTGCAGACTACGAATATGCGTTTTGGCGAGGACACATGCATTGCTGGTCTTGTAAAGCCGAGCTTTGATGATCAAACTTAATTTTGAGGTTCTACATAGCATAGAGTTGCCGAAACGTAATTTGGAATTTAGTTTTTGACGCTTCAGTGTGCTTCTGCTACGTCATCCTCTTGTAAAGAGTAACACCAGGATACTTGACAGAATTTTCTCATGGTACACGAGCTTCATTCCTGAAACCTCAGACGGGGTGCCGCTAAGTTTTTTAGTACAATCGATAGCCTGCGTTTTCGAATAATCAATTTTAATCAGTCAGCGATTCGTCCATTCCAATACGTCATCCACCGCACTATAACCTCTCGCCAACTAGATTAATGGAACCCGATTGGGTCACTAGTGCAGTGTCATCAACATATAGTCTTCATAGTTCCAGCAAAACCAACTCCTGATACTTCAATGTTATATCTAAGGCATAGAAGTGAAGCACCTGCGCATTTGGATTGAAATAACAATCTATAACAAAAACCTGGAAAACGTATCAATCACTAGATGATTTTGAGATTTTTGATTCCTTGAGTTCCTCTTTCTAAAATAACAACTCTGAAGGTTGTATTTTAAGGTCTTTTTTTAGAAAATGAGTGGATGTCGGAAATCTCTTTAATAATTTATGTATATTTCTCAAAAATTCACGTGCGGGGTATGACAAACATTAAACAATTTCAATGGATTTACAAAGAACTGCCTGGATAATGGAAAATATACCGTAAAGAACCCCACACGAAACGTAAAGGAAATTGAGTATGGTATATGTATTTCTCGCTCTTCTGAACAAAAGTTTTATACTGAAAGAAGTATTTCATTTGAAAAACTTTTTAGAATGGGAGTTGGGAGATGTCATGTTGATCATGGCTATGATCCTCACAAGCCCAATTTAGGGCAAAGCTTATTTTTGACGTTGACACTGAAATGGACATGGCACGAGTCGTTCGAGAATTCAAAAATTCACTCAAGAGAACAATTTGCCTTACGAGTGTGCGGAAAAGTCGTGGTTGTTTAGTTGCCTTTGACTATGACTTTGCACGATCAGTTCAAGATCATGTTGGTTTTGAAGCCGAAAGAGAAAGGAAAAACACACTATTGTGAACATAGCTTAACGGTATTGTAATTTATTGACTACTAATTTGAGTTTTGGTTTGCTTCCGGCATATCGAACGGTTTGGGACAACTTTTTCTAAAGATCTCGTGGAAAGCATATAGAAAAACTACGTGAGCCTGATTTTTTTCTACAATATGTACATTAATTATTTCATAACCATTAGGTAAATACTTATTATTTTCATAAAATTGTCGTTAAGATATCCTTAGTTGATACCTTATTGGGTTTCTCATTAATAATCTGAAGGATATCTATTCTATAAAGATCTTCTAGTTTCGGTACATGCTGCATTTAAATGTTTTTCTCGAGGAATTTTATTGGCCATTTTTGCAAATATATAAACTTCATCCCCCTATTTCTCAGAAATCAATCATAGGATTGCTTTGGTTCCAAGAGAGCTTCTGTCCGGGAAAGCAATAAAAGTATATCATATTGTTTTTTTTACACAAATAGACTTATTTTCCACCTGTTTTGTGCGGTGTCCTTAGATTGTGTGAAGTTGAAATATTTTGAAAATCTACATTTTTTGTGCATCATAAAACTCAAGCTTACGCTATAAACTATAATGCCAACAGAATATCTACCCATACTAAAAACTTGCAAACAAAATGTACATGCAACACAAAAAAAACACGCATAACAACACTCATTTTCACTTACTGATGGAGCGCAACATGGAATGTTGTTGACAGATACGCATACATGGAGACATGTATAGTTCTGAAAATTCAAATATTTATGGTTAGTCCAGTATAATAATAAGGTAATACTAATAGCGTAAATAACAGAACAGCCATGGTACAAGTAAATAATGAGCTCTTTGAGCCCTTCATTATAACGACGGATCTTGAGCAGGAAGATGCTCTATCACCACTTATTTTCAACATAATCTTAGAAAAGATAGTGAGAAGAGAACAAATTACCCCAAAAATGTTAACAGCTGAAGGGCTCTTAGCATACGCAGATGATACCGACCTCACAAATAATATCGCATTAGAACGAACATCCAAATCAGACGGTTGTTTCGGGATAATGATATTATGCAAGAAATCGAAGCATAGTGATTGAGATGCACTGGCCACGTTACAGACTTTACAACAGACGGTTGGTAAAGTTTATCTGGGAGGAAGCACCAGCTGGTGAAACATCCCTAGACCGTACCCGTATGAGATGAAGAGATAATTTCGAGTTAGACCTAGCAAAAATGAATTCTGACACAGCAATTTGAAGTTAGCCAAAGCTCACCCACGGTTTTAATGCTACTCGTAAGTAACAACATCGAGTAATAATCATAGGAATCGTCGCAGTTTGGGTAGATATTTTAATCATTTTAGCCACACCAACTCCTTGACAAATCATCAAAATTAGTTATGAAACATACGCGTCTATTCTGCAAATAGTTTGAATCTTCGGATAGACATCTCAAGTCTGGTACCAAAATGGAAGAGAGCAGTAAACCAGATCGTACGCCACTGTTAACGCAACGGGTCTTTGGGTATCTGCACGCACCGTCTGTCATTGCACGTCTCGTCTCTCTCTTTCGTTTTGGTACCTGAGTGTGGTGCTAGTGACCGATACTATTTTTAGCAGCAACCGCCAAAATGTTTGTTAAGTAACATATGGATTTTGTTAACTATGGCAACGACAGCCAAGTTTATAGTTTCGCGCACTGTACTGTCGGATCGCGGAGAGACTGCAGAAAAACGTTCTTGTCAATCTATTCAATTCTTCCACCTCAGCAAATTCCCTAAAAACGGCTGGTGTATCTTCATTCGCGTGTTCAGGCTTCCTACTAACACATCCCTGCAGCCTGCAACATATCTACGAGGTGAAAATAAACAAAAGTGTAATATAAAACGATGGAAGGAATTTGACCCCGTCTCGTCTGCTTGTAAGCGCAAATTGGACTCGTGTTTCTACAGACAATAAGAAGACTCTCCTAAACAGACGGCTCATTTGTTTGGATTGGGGTTTCTTAGAATAGTCACGGCCATATTAATCAACGTGGACCCGACGGGGTTTATTATTGTTCGGAAAAGACGATTTGTTCTTGTTACTGTGTAGAGGACATATGTTTATGCCAACTGCTTGGATTAATTTGTAAAATTGCTGTTGAAGATGAAATGCACCGGTTGTTCATTAGAGAAATTAAACATCCTGTTGGTTGGAGAATGAAGAGTTGGTATCAGATATTCCTATTTAAGCTGAGATGGTTTTGAATATGGTAAAGTTTGTTTGTGGTATACATATAGAAGAAAAAATGGCGTCAACTAGGTCTTCTGCACTTCCTACCAATTCATAAAGGATTAAGTTCAGAGAAGTTTAAACCACCTGAAAAAATCTCAGTTACGACTATGTATAAAAGAGGAATTAAAACGGATCAAGACAGTCAGACAGGCCCATACAATTAGTCCATAGCCATTCTTTCCCTGTCCTACCGGTAGTTACCGTC